ATGTTGTCTGAACACATTTCAAACACAAAAATTACCAACCGGTCGCTGTAGCCACGCCACCTGACGGAATGTCACGAATACACAAGACCAATTTTACTTCTAATGCTTTTTAGACGTCCACGAGGCATCTAATTTGGTTGCATAATGCCAATTATTGCACTCTAGTGCCGAATTTTAGCAAAAAAAAATCCAAAAAAGACCTTTTCTAGAGACAAAAAAAATTTAATAGTGCAACGGTCAACAATTTGCGGAGGTTTACTGTTGTATGTATGTTGTGTTGTATGCCTCCTAAAACAGTAGGCGTCCATAGGCAGCAGCAGGCCTGAATAAGTATCGGACAGAAATTAATTTAAGATACTCACACTAGCTGTTTCGTCGTATACACAACCAGGGACACAACATACACTTTATTCATGTTAAATAACTACACATGCATGCTCTATGCTGTGCTTGAAACTTTTGCCAGCTCTATGACGCATATTTCTACAGCGTAGTCCAAACACATTGCAAACACAATGAAAGTGTCAATGACACTATAGCTCACCTTGGGTGTGATAGAAGAAGGAGATGATATTTAAAATTTGGTATGTGTTTCATTTATGACGGACCGAAATGTGATCAAAAGTCCTTATTCCCTGTTTTATACTAATAGAAATTTTACCGTTTTGTTTCCGGGTTAGTTTTGATGCAAAAATAAATGTTTCAGATCTGAAAGTCTGAAATCTGGGCGAGAGAAGGCGCTACACCTAAATGATCACCATTTTGGTTTTCGATTATCGCGCAAATAAAAGTAATAAAATATTTCAGTCAAATTACTGTAACGAAGAATCTAAAACACAGTATTACACGTAGGTATGATTAGGTATAGGTAGGTAAGTAAATTTAACAAAATTGAATGAATCTAGATGGCCATTTACATTTTTGCCAAAAGGTCGGCGTGGCTCGAAAGTAGGTTGACTGGCGTGCTCCAAAATAGAACGTTCAAATCTCATCCATAGGAGTAACAACTGTATGCAATTTGAAACATGTGGGTCAAACGGTTCTTGAGTTATCATTGACCATATGCAGAGACTGAAATGCATAGTGAAATTGCCAAAATCTACATAATTTGCATAATTTAAAAAAATATCAAAACTCCTGTGATATGTTTTGGGGGCCAGTCGTCATTCATTTACATGTACCAAAAATGAGCAAAATCCGTTGAACCTGAACTGAGTTATGGCCATTTCCATTTTTGCCAAAAAGTGGGCGTGGCTCGAAAGTAGGCGAACTGGCGTGCCCCAAAATAGGACGTTCACATCTCTGCCATAGGAGTAACAACTGTATGCAATTTGAAACATGTGGGTCAAACGGTTCTCAAGCTATCGTTGACCGTAGCCAAATGTTGACGGACGGACGGACGGACGTACGACGGACGACACCCCATGGCAATAGCTCATCTTGACGATGTCAAGTTGAGCTAAAAATGACAAACCGGTCACCATTGCTACGCCACTTGACGGAATGTTGCAGCTTCACGACAAGACCAATTTTACTTCGAATACTTTCTAGATGTCCACGAGGCATCTAACTTGCGTGCAAAAGAGTGCACTCTAGTGACGAATTTCACCAAACAAAATGCCAAAAAAGCCTTTTCTAGAGACTAAATAGTGCGGCGGTAAACAATTTGCGGATGCTTACTGTTGTATGCCTCCTTGAGGATCGTGACGGCGTCGTTCATGATGAACAGCTTCTGAAGATGATTGATCACCATCTTGTTCATACCTGGACAATCGCACGACAAAGGCATGACAACGACATTATAACGAGCATACGCGATGACTTTATACAACGTAACGACCCCGGGGGGGGCACTCGCCTCGGAACTGGGTAGGGGGTGCCTCGGGGACCTTGAAAACCTGACCATGTCGCAAACCGCTTTGCGCCCTAAAATACACCCTGTCCCAATATACGGCACTAACAAGAGCCGCAGAGCGACTGTGCTCAGCTGAGGTCTGTTGCTATAATAAATTATTATAAACTCAACATTTCAGTCGTGCGTAGTGACGTTTGTTAGGCCCAAATATGTTCGCATATGCGCTGAAACATTTAAAACTATCATATGGCGCGAACGATTTGAGTTACATTTCTAGCTATTCTATAGACATATATGTCTTAGCTATAATCTCTGTGAATTTCGAGTTTATTGAAGCGTGATTAGCTCAATTAATTAGCAAATATGTACGCGAAGTGTGATAGCAGTGAGATATTGATGAATTATTGTCCTAGCTGTGTAGACAAGTTTTAAATAATCAAAGTAAAGGTTCAATTAAAAGTTTCATATCATTACACAAAATCACTGTATGGAGGCTAATTTGTTATCAGTATCTGAAAACAAATAACCAACTTATTGTATACTTAGGCCTAAAAAATACGCTTGTTTCCGCTAACCCGACCGAGTCAATTTTAAACCGCCAAGTTGAAACTTTTTATTGTGATCGGCTAAAAAAAGAAGCTGAATGTCAGATGCGTGTATATGCTGGACTGGTTTATATATATATATATATAAATAATATATGATATATATCCTTGAATCGGACTTTCTTGTTTCTGTACCTTCTGGGTTGAATC